AAAAGATTACCTGTGTTGACATAAAAAGATGTGGTTAAACAGAGAATGACTTCACAGTGAAATCCTTAACATCTTAGTGTAAAGATTACCTAGTGTTGACATAAAAAAGATGTAGTTAAACAGAGAATGACTTCACAGTGAAATCCTTAACATCTAAGCATAAAGATTACCTATTGTAGACGTACTAAATAATGTGGTTAAACAGAGAATGACTTCACAGTGAAATCCTTAACATCTTGGTCAAAAGATTACCTGGTGTTGACATAAAAAAGATGTGGTTAAACAGAGAATGACTTCACAGTGAAATCCTTAACATCTTAGTGTAAAGAGTACCTGGTGTTGACATAAAAAAGATGTGGTTCAACAGAGAATGACTTCACAGTGAAATCCTCTTAGCCTAAAGATTACCTGGTGTTGACATAAAAAGATGTGGTTAAACAGAGAATGACTTCACAGTGAAATCCTTAACATCTTAGCCTAAAGATTACCTGGTGCTGACCAATCACAAGATACAGTTAAACAAAGAATAGCTTGACAGAGTGGTTATTAAAGTTTTAGCGGAAGATTACCTGTCTTCGGTTCATTAGTTCCCTTTCTCTCTCCAATTCTTTTTTCCTTTTCAGTTTCTTGTTATCCTAAAAATAAAATAAATAAAAGTAGTTGTAAAAATCAGAAGAGACAATATATGTTTTACAGCTCTAGTACAATGTCATTTTTATAAAGTATTTCATCAAGAAAATACAGAAATGTTTACTAATTAACACCATATTTTTATAAAGTAGGACTTTCTTCTCCCACACAATACATTTTGGTTTATAGGAGTAGGACTTTCTTCTCTCACACAATACTTTCTGGTTTATAGGAGTAGGACTTTCTTCCCCCACAACAATACATTCTGGTTTATAGGAGTAGGACTTTCTTCTCTCACACAACAATACATTCTGGTTTATGAGAGTAGGACTTTCTTCTCTCACAACAATACGTTCTGGTTTATAGGAGTAGGACTTTCTTCTCTCACACAATACATTCTGGTATATAGGAGTAGGACTTTCTTCTCACACAACAATACATTCTGGTTTATAGGCGTAGGACTTTCTTCTCTCACCCAATACATTCTGGTTTGTAGGAGTAGGACTTTCTTCTCTCACACAATACGTTCTGGTTTATAGGAGTAGGACTTTCTTCTCACACAACAATGCGTTCTGGTTTATAGGAGTAGGACTTTCTCTCTCATAACAATACATGAAGGTTGGTAGGAGTAGGACTTTCTTCTCTCACACAATACATTCTGGTTTATAGGAGTAGGACTTTCTTCTCCTCACAACAATGCATTCTGGTTTATAGGAGTAGGACTTTCTTCTCTCACAACAATACATTCTGGTTTATAGGCGTAGGACTTTCTTCTCCCACAACAATACATTCTGGTTTATAGGAGTAGGACTTTCTTCTCTCACCCAATACATTCTGGTTTGTAGGAGTAGGACTTTCTTCTCTCACAACAATACGTTCTGGTTTATAGGCATAGGACTTTCTTCTCCCACAACAATACATTCTGGTTTATAGGAGTAGGACTTTCTTCTCTCACCCAATACATTCTGGTTTGTAGGAGTAGGACTTTCTTCTCTCACACAATACGTTCTGGTTTATAGGAGTACGACTTTCTTCTCTCACAACAATGCATTCTGGTTTATAGGAGTACGACTTTATTCTCTCACAACAATACATGAAGGTTGGTAGGAGTAGGACTTTTATCTCCTATACAATACATGAAGGTTGGTAGGAGTAGAACTTTTATCTCCTATACAATACATAGAAGGTTGGTAGGAGTAGGGCTTTCACCTTCTACACAATACATGAAGGTTGGTAGGAGTAGAACTTTTATCTCCTATACAATACATGAAGGTTGGTAGGAGTAGGACTTTCACCTCCTACACAATAGATGAAGGTTGGTAGGAGTAGGACTTTCACCTCCTACACAATACATGAAGGTTGGTAGGAGTAGGACTTTTATCTCCTGCACAATACATGAAGGTTGGTAGGAGTAGGACTTTCACCTCCTACACAATACATGAAGGATGGTAGGAGTAGGACTTTCACCTTCTATACAATACATGAAGGTTGGTAGGAGTAGGACTTTCACCTTATACACAATACATGAAGGTTGGTAGGAGTAGGACTTTCACCTTA